CACCCAGCCCCCTCCACCTCTGCCTCCCATCTCGTATGTGATGTGGGTGACAATGCTGGAGGGTTTTAGCAAGTCCCTGAGCGCATCATGGGTGGTCGGGCCGGGGCAAACACAAATACAAACCGATTGCTAAGCTGCGAACAATGGACGAAATGTAGACAAATGTCCGGCTTCTGTTGGAAGCTTTTGTCCTAGCTCAGTTTTTGCATTTATTTCAGTGGCGAAATAATACATGATTGACGCCCTCTTTCAATGTGTTCTAACTGTTTGGAATAAATCTGAGGTTGTTCCTAGTTGTCATGGCATTCAACTGCTTTCAATGGACTATCTCTTCATTCATTTCTGAACCCCACCACAATATTAAGGAAACTCCTTCATGTCGATGCTCCCTGACTCTTCTTTCCCTTTTCACTCCAGGTTTTTTTTTCTTTTAATTTTGAACAAAAATGATCGAATCTCGGCCCCCCCGCCCGGCCAGTTATTGCCTTCAGTTATTTATTTATTCGCCTGTTTCCCTTGCGCCGGGAGGACTCACATGGCACCAAGTGAGGGAAGGAGCCCTGGGGAGAGGGAATGCTTTAGTTAAGAAGCAACATAACAAGGGCGGCATGCACCCAAAGACCTGCGATTGTATCCCAGCAGGAGCAGCCAAGAGATGCCAAGGCTCGCACGCCCAGGCTGGGTGTTGGCTGGATGGGTGGGTGGGAAATGATCGCCTCGCCACACCAGTCCCAGCAAAACTGGACGAGGAGAAAGAAGTTTTAAGGGGGGGAGGGAGATCGCGATCTGCCAGCAAAGACCAGCTTAGACTGTCCGCGGCCACCTTGCAGGGCAATCCTGTGCCAGGCGTTGGTTTTTTACATGCAGGCAGGGAGCAACAAGAAGAAGAACGACGACAAAAAAAAAAGATGCCACTTGGAGACATCTTTCATAGGCCGCTGGGGCAGTTGGGGGACAGCTTCCCGGGGGGACTGGCAAGGTGTCAGGGAGCCAAGTGCACCTAAATGAAGGGCCCTAATTGGACAAAGCAGGAGTGAAAGTGAGTTATGGGGTGTTATCAATAGGGAATGGACTGCATCTCTCACGCACACAGTCACTCTCTCTCTCACGCATACACAAGTGCGATGAACCTGTTGGCTGTGCTCTCTCCCAGACCACCTGATAGGTAAATATTTTCCTAAGGGAAAACCAGGGCTCCAGGGTCATTAATCACGCTGCAGTTGGAGTAGGATGACAATGGTCCATTGAGAAGCACACACCGGCTAAACAACACAGTTGGACTGTGACCAGCTATTCTCCTTTGTACACAAAGACCTGCAATAAGTCATAATGTTGAACCACTCTTGTCTCTCTCACACTCCTACCTCCTCCTCCCACCAACCCCCCTCCTTCTGAAACCTTGCTCCTAAGTCACCAACCCAGCCTCACGTGTCGCCTGAAATTCTCACAACTATTAGTAAAATGAACCCCCCAGTCCCTCCCCCCAGCCCCGACACGCACATTGTTTAGCAAGGTCATTTTCATGATCTAAGGGAAATGGAATGAGCTGGGGTTAATCTGCGCTTGCCTCCAGTCCCTACACCCACTCTCTTCCCCGGGTGCCAGTTCTGGGTTAGGAGCTGGGCTACTTTTAAGCACACGCACATATCTGGCTTCGTTCAGACCCAGTGTGTGTGGCGCGGTCATTTGCAACTGAAAAGCAAGGCCGGCCCATCTCCAGGAGAACAATTTTTTGGAGTGGGAACACGCTCCTAGAAATCAGAGAAGGCATCTGGGCCTTTCCTGAGACATCCATGCTCAGTGCAAAGGAGATCACTCGCCACCCCTCCTCCCGCCCCCATTTGTAGGTGGGATGGTGTGAAACTCCTCTGATCTAAGCAGGTGTGCACCCCAGAGGCCAAGGACAGAGGGGTCCCTGCTGCAGGAGATGCAGTGAAACAGGTGATGAAACAACCCCTTCTCCCTGCGCCTGATCCGGTGTATGGGGAGTCGCAGCTTAGTGTTAGATCAATGGAAGGGTTTTTTTACAGAGGGTTGATTTAAAGCGAGCTTTCCCCAGCTCCGATTGGCACTGTATTTTAAGATTGTCAGGGGAGCAGGAGAAAAAAAAGGAAAAAACCCCTCAAAAGCCATAGTGTTCGCATCTCGTGCTAGCCTTTTAAAAGGGTACCCAGGCTGCCCCGTGTTAAAGATCCTTCCAGCCTTTCACATCTTGCTTGATTTTTACCCCACTAACCACCACCACTCCCAGTCTCTGACTTGGTTTTTT